GAGAATAATAACAGAGATTACAACTCTGTAACATAGTCCAACTCACAACCGAAGTGGATCATATAAACCAACTTTCGTAGAGAGTGGCACAATGACAAAGCCCTAATGATTCTACATCCTGGACCTGTACAAACTTTAGGTTTATAACCTTCTATTTATAAACCTTTTCCCAACTGGATCTGGGCTTCAAAAACACAGCAGTGATGTTGCACAAAGTCTGCAAAAACTTCTCCAAGAAAATAGGTCTTCAATCATAACTTTCCTAAAATATCTGATTTATCAATCTTGGACGCCACATAGGATTAATAAATATTCAGTAATTAATTCACAACAACTGAATCCAACCTGTCAGCTGTAGCAGACCTGATGTCCTATACTTCTGGTTATGACATCCCATTCGACATGTTCAAATAGAAAATTGAAACATCTTGTTCAACATGTTGCTGCAAGGTTAATTTTACAAAAAATCATGTCAGTCATAATTTCAGAGAAATAACAAAACTAATGATTGAAGTCTTATTTTTATGCAGAAGTTTCTGCAGATTTTTTACAACTTATTTGTTGTGCTTTTGAAGCCCAATCCAGTCCATAAGATTGTTTTAAATAGAGTGACACTAACCTATTTTTAGTGTGGAACTTATGTGTTTTTTTGTTACTTGTGTGTTAATTGTGAGCCTCTCTAATATCATCTTGATAAAAGAGTAGGATTGTTCTATTGAATTTTAAGTTATGTCAGTCATTCTAAAGCTTTTAAGCATTGAATGCTTGTGTGTTTTTTAAGGTTGTCTTCTAAAGTCTTTTGAATTGTGTTCTTGTAATTATTTTTTAACTGTAAGGGATTTGAGAAGGGTCTCATACCTAGGTGAGTCTTAGATATAAGCTAAGCAAGAGTAGTGATTAAGTGAGTAAATTGTAAACTAGTGAGAGATTGTTATGGGTCTACAAATTGATACTACTTAGTTTATTTCGTCCCTGGCTTGGTAGCCCCTAGAGTAGGTGTTTTTGTACACCGAACTGGGTTAACAATTATGTGTGTTCCTTTATTTTCTACATTGCTTTATTGTTTAAAATTTGTCATTGTGTTGTTGTTCAGAGATCAGTGTCTTGACATCTCTTAGGACATTTGAGATCTGTATACCAGAATTTTAATTTATTTCCTTCTTCTTTGATTTTTCTTGAAATTTATAAACAACAGAGAGAAATGGTTATTTTTGCTTTCAATTAGCAACTTGAAGCGGTTAGTCCCTAAGGTAAACCGAGTTTTTACACGGGCTTATATCGATTAAAGGAGAGCTTTTAAACTAGGATGAGCTCGCGAACCTAGCCAAGATTTTAACGGGCTGACCATGGACCTGTGAGATTTTATATCAGGCTTATCTCCAACCTTATAAGTCTTTAAATTGGGCTGAGATTACGAACCAAATTTGGATTTTTACCATAATAACCATGTACCAATGAGATTTTATATCATGTTGATCTCGAACCACTGAAAGCATTTGAAGGGATGAACTTTCGAACTGAACTGGTGACTTAGTAAGTAAATCCTAAAATCGATGTTTTGAACGGGTTTACCTTCAACCCAAATAAACAATCCATAATGGTAAATTATTCAACCAAGACAATGATCCTTGGTGAATTAAAAATTATACCCTTCCATAATACAAAATTTCTCACCAAACAAAAGAACTTTCTCGAAAGCACTACGACTAATTTCTAAGTGAGATAAAGTGGAAAAACATTTTTATAGAGAGAGTGAGGAGAGAGACGTGAAAAATCATGATTCAGGAACTATAAGTATGAGAGAAGGGACCTTTATTTATAGGTTAGAGGTTGGCATAAAAAAGAAAAACTTTTGTGACCAAAATTAATGAGCCAATTGATTGGAATCATGCTCCAATCGATTGGTTGGCCTAAAATTGACTGTTTAGAAGGTTTTTAAAGGAAATAAAAGATATATAGTTGTTACCATTCATTAAGACAATGTCCTAAACGTTTAGGACACATTTTTGTGCTAACCCAACCGACTGGGCGTAAGTGCTAATCGGTTAGCCAGTACAAAAAATAGCCCAAAACTTTTTTGATAGCTCTCAATTCAACTGACACGACTTCAAGACATTTTTAAAAATATTTTCTTAAGAAAAGTAGATTTTAAAACTTGTTTTAGTGTGTGTGTGTATGTGATTATCTGTGTAACTTTACAAAAAAGCCCTTATGTTTTTACAACATACGGATCACTCAGACACGACTTGGCGAGCTTTTATACTCCCTCTCTTTCATACTTTAAAGTTTTAAGACTTGATAGATAAATCAGTTACACATACACTTGCTTGAATTCTTCTTGGAGATGAGGCTTGAGTTTTATATTAGTTGAGCGACATCATCAGAGGATCTTTTAGTGATCATTAAACCCTAGATTTGTATGCTTGTATCTTTAACTTCTTGTTATGCTTGCAATTTAGTTGTTATCATTAAAGCCTAGTTGTCAGCATCAAAAGCATATTTATCTTCAGAAGAGCTTTTTTGATCACTAACCTCCAAAACATGGTTCCACACCACTAATGTCCGCAACCACCACAACCACTTTTGAATGTAGAAAATTCTAAAAGAGGGATTAAGCCTCAATCGCAAAAAGACAAGGAAAAGTAACCCCGTCAATGATATATTTTATGACAGAACTTTCACCTCACCTAAAACAAATGAAGTGTAAACCATTGACGCGTCATATTTTATTTTATTTTAAACAAAAATATCATATATTCTCTCGATTTAGCTTGAAATTGAGTGGTAAAGTATTTAGATGACACGCCTTTGAATCACAACAACTATATTTTAACACCTTTTAATTTTAAAATTTTTTTATGACTTATTACCCTGGTTTTGCTGAAAACCGAGGGAAAAAATATTTAGAGGACACGTCTTCAAATCTCAACAACTATATTTTATCAACTTTTAATTTTTAAAATTTTTGTATGTCATGTTACCTTGATTTTGCTGAAAATCGAGGGGTAAAGTAGCTAGAGGACACGACTTCAAATTCCATCAACTATATTTTATCACCTTTTAAATTTTTGAAAAGTTTTTATGACCTATTACCTCGGTTTTGCTGAAAACCGAGGGGTAAAGTAGTATTTTTTTATTTATGACCAATTTGATAATAAAAAAATAAAGTAATGAATTTTTGTCGTCCATTTATAAAGTAACAATGGTCAAGACATTGTTAACTCATCAATCTATATGAAATATTAGAGATCCGCGAGAAACTCTTCCTAGCCAATTAAAACGCGAATGCCACAATTATTCGTCTTGGATGCAAGTGCTGAAATTCAAACTTAACATATTAAAATCAATGATAATGAAAGCAAAAGCAGAAAAATATTTCAAGGTTGATTTCTTAATGTTTAATCTTTTCTCTAGTTAGGAAAGCATGAAAGTAACATATTAATGTTAGTTGTAGTTGTATGAAGTAAAATGGTTAATATTGTTGTTGTTGTTGTTGTTGTTGAAATTTAGTATTTAACAATTCTATTGATTTTGTTTATTTGTTATTGTTGTTGTTGAGATTTAATGTTTAAAGAATCCATGAATTTGTTGTTGAGATTTAATATTTAAGGATTCTATTGATTTTGTTTTTGTTGTTGTTGTTGTTATTGATGAGGAAGATTTAGAATTTGTCAACAAATTTGATGTTTTACATGTTAAAACGAGAAAAAAAACATGTCAATTTTTTTTTGTAAATAGGACTTTACCCCTCAATTATTGTTAAAAGTCGAGATAAAAAGTAGCACAGTTTTGAAAATTCAAAAAATATTATTGTTGGGGATCGAACTCATGACCATTGTCACTTTACCCCTCAATTTTTAAATCGTCATTCGTTACCTCGCTTCTGTAACCGAGATTATACTTGTTTTATGTCCAAGATAAAATAGAATTATTTGTAGTAGTAAGAAATATTCTTTAAAGTACCTAAAGATCTCTTCTTGAATCCTAGACCTTGTCCAACCAAATACCGCCCACTCGAAGAACTGTCGAGTTGTTCCTCCTACTCCCCTGCTTAACACGGGCCTGAAAGTATCAATTATTAACATCATCTTCCTTCAACCATGCCAAAAGAGGAATACTTCAAAACTAAAAGACAATGATCGGAGACGTCTCGGGCCACAGCCCACAAGCTACTATAACCCCACTTTTCCTTTCTCTCAGTCGAAAGATAACGAGGTCATCCTCCAAAAACAGCTCCAAACAAAAGACGATTGCAAAAAATGTATATGCAGTTTTGTAGGCACTAAATAATTTTTTCACATACATTTTTTCTCTTGAAACAATGTAATGCAAAATACTCATGGACCCACATGGCCCACTTCCTCTCTTTACATCTAAGTCATATTAATTTCTTGCTTAATAGTTAATTGAGTTAGCATGTTCTTAACATGTATAATAACACTCATTTCTCACTGGCTACAGTACAGGAATGGAAGAATATTGACAATTTCAAAACACCGTTTTGGCATTAGAACAAAACGACTTGTTTACTGATTGTACCCTACTTTATACTAAACAAGTGAATGACATTAATTCGATACAATGTATCTTCCATTTACCATACAAGAGAAACAAAACAAAGCATATCAAAGATTGAAAGAGACCAAGCCACAGCAACCCTTGTTAACGGTAGCGTGTCGTATATAATACAACAACCTAAATCAATGTGTTGGCATATACTTATCCGTGAACAAACCATCAAACTTGAATTTCAATTATATTCTTTCACAATGATATAACAGTTCATACACATGTTATAATAAAACAAAAATAATAAACAAACATTGGTTGTTTTTATTCCTTCATAAAGAAAGCTAACATGTGTCGTTATCATAATCTATTACATCATATGAAAAATATCAATAATATCCTTATAGCTTGTATAGGTTTTTCTTCTTTTGTTTTTGTTCTTTTTTATGAATGGATTGTAGTTGCATAGCGTGCAGGATGTAAAGAAGCATTTATTCATCTACCTCTAAATGGATTAGAGTGGTTGAATTATTCTCCTTATTTATAACCTTGCTTCCATATTGGTATATAAAATTTTCACTGCCAAAATTGAAAAAAAATACATTTTACTATAATTAGATTTACAGGAATAAAACATAGTTAGCAAACTTGTACACCAATTGTTCTTGTTTTATAAAACTTAACCTAACAATCGTCACTGCATGATGTACTGTACATCAGTGAAATCAATGCACATTCCTTCAGCAAAAAGAAACAAAAATATAAGACAAATGAAATGTCGCAATCATACCATTAATAATAGATATGACAGAACTCAGTTTTGCAGCACAGCCCAACCCATCAATGACACAACTTTGTTCCTTTTTTTCTTTCTGTTCTTTACTAAACATAGTAATATTGACGCTACTATTGAAAGATATGACTGAGGAAGTAGTCCTAGTCCCTGCATTGATTCACGGTAAAGTTACACCGTAGCTCAACGCAAGAAATGTTAGCACCTAGCAAGATTCGAACATGATATTTGAGAGGAATACACTCTCAGGACTCAATCATTCACCAATAGGTCAATCCCTGGGGTTTTAAGACACTTATATATTCAATTAGTAATTTATTTTCTTGAATATTATGAGTCTTGATATCTAAATTTTATAGATCATAATATATAATCATGATGTGGGCTATATGCAATAAAGATAAAGTGGTCTTTACAAGATGACCATTATCATTCATCACTAATATAAATAGTAATATATCACCCTCACCACCTATCAGTCATATCAGAAAGAAAAGTTACATAGTTATTACCTAAGTCTTATAGAAAAAGTCAGCAAGAAAATACACTAAAAAAGAAAGAAATACTAACATAGAAAGTAATAATGAAGCTATTTATCAAATCATATATTTACTCTTCTTTCAACATATGTGAAGGAACAACGTCTTGAAGAAGACCATGGTCCCTAAGAAAGGAAGTAGTTGTCCCTGGATTACAAAGCTTTTTCTCTTGAGTAAAAGGATTGTAATTATAAGGGTTACTCAAAGAGGACAATGTATTAACCAGTAGTTGTTGATGAGGATGATGTTGTTGCTGCTGATACTGTAATAAGTAGTTGTTCTCTTGCAGAACTGAACCGAAGTTAGTGGCCGGAAATCCACCGGAGAGTGCACCAGTAGGTGGTGGTATCTGAACTCCGGCGAAGGCGGAACGGGACATAGCTGGACTTGGATGAATGTGTTGGCCTTCATAAGTTGTGACTACAATGGTTGGATCAGTATAAGAACGCTCCACACGTTTCTTCACATTACATGAAACAGTGGTGCAGCGGTAATAGCTCCTACACATTAACAAAAACATACATATATAAACAAAAACATAAACATGCACATAAACAAAAGAGTGTGAAGGTGTTGAAGAATGAAAAGAATTGTTAGTACCTTGGAAAAGGGCTGTTTTTGACAGCTTTTTGACCGTACTTTCTCCATCTGTACCCATCTTCCAGATGATCCACCTCGCTTTTCGTCATGAACGCGAATCTTGGTTCTCTCTGTCTCTTTTGATTTGTCTTCTTGGTCTTCAGCCTAATCCCAAATACAACCAGATCCCATTATCCATCAAATAATCAATCCCAAAGCAAAAACAAAAAGCAAAGTCCACCATATTCATTTGTTTATCTAATTGGCTTGTAAAATATATATAAAAATCACACACTTTATTATTATACCATAAAATCACCTACAAATAAAGTGAGAAAAATTGAAAAAAAAAACTTACTGTTTGCTGGTTTTTTGTTTTTCTTCTTCACCATCTTCTTGGACTTGGTCAACAAGAGTCCTATTGTGTTGTTCATCATTAACAGCTTCACTAGAAGCCGATGAAATCGAGCAAGAGTTAGGAGTTTGAGGCAGTTGATTCAAAACCTCAGAACAGTCTTTTCCATTAGTATCAGATGAAGACATAATTGTAGTTTGGCGATGAGCCATCGAAGACATGGTTGATGATAGTTGTGGTACATCAAGCAAAGAACTATAGTTTTCCACACCAAGTAACTCCATAAACCCTAAAGAAGAACTTTTCTCAACCTCATAGAAATCAAACACGCTTGAAAACTGAAAACCGTTTAACAAAGATGAAGAACCACCACCAACACCAACATCTTCTTCACTCTTCACACTCATCACACCCATCTCTTTCTTCTCCATATATCCTAGATGAATATATCTCAAATGCACAAATCCAAATCCTTCATTTGTAGACAACAACACACTCTTTGAGATGATAGTAACAGTTTCAGAAAGAGAGAGAGAGAGAGAGGGGGGGAGGTGTGTATGTGTGAAAGGAACAAAGAAAAAATGAAAATAGAAAAGAAAGAGAATAATTGACCGGCAATTGTAGGTGACAAAATGATAGAGCCGGTGGAATTGAATGCATGAGGGAGTCGAGTCGACGCTTTCATACGTGATGTTTGACTGGTTAACAGGTTTTGTGTGTGAACGGGGTTCCGCATATACTACCATGTTCTGGATTCTAACGGCGTTTGTTTTGTTTTTATGCTTTTATTAAAATTATAAATTGTACTGTAGTAATAGTTTTTGCTCGTGTGCATGTGAACCACAGATTCTCATCAATCCGTGTGGTCCACTTTCTTTCCTTTAATCTGTTTTTTATTTCAAACTTTTCGTTTTTTTTGTTTGGTTTTTCTGTAAGAAACTTTTGCAGCACGTATCAACTTTTTTATATATCACCAATTTTTTTATATATATCACCGTGTGTGTGTTTTTTTTTTACAGTTGAATAGTGTATAAAAGGTGTTTCGATATAGTTTAAAATTGTTTTTTTTTTTCTTTTCAGTTTAATATCTATGGCTTGGATTGCATTTTACTTGTGTTTTTTTAGTTCAATACCAATTCAAAACATTTTACGAATGACATTAACCTAACATATATGTATCTCTTCAATATTTACATTGTTTTCACATTTGAATATGAGATTCTATTTTACGCACACTTTATATCGTTATTGTCTATATTTTCAATTTTTGAAGTTGCAATACTTAATTAAAATATTAGCTTTGAGATTAATTGTTGGGTAGAATATGAGTGTAGAATAGTCTAGAAGGGAGAGTTGAAACCAATTTCAAAAAAAAAAAAAATTCAAAATCAGTGTTTTATAAAAAGTTTGGAAGCATAATTTTACAAAACATGTGTTTGGATCGATTTCACGATTTACTCTGAATATTGAAAACTACAATAAAGATGGAAGATGAGGACGCTAAACAATCAATGCATCAATTAATTGAATTCAATTTACTCGAGATGTTTGAATTGAATCTTATTAATCGAAGAGTCAATCTAACATTACAAGTTTATACAATATAATAACTAGGAAAGAATATTTGAATGACTAAATCTATCACATATCTACACTTACACATGGATCGTTTTAACCTTATAAATTATAGACACATAAGATTCTAGAAAAAACAATAAAATCTAAGCTCATATAAATCTACACTAGAGTTTAAAAGAGATAATGAAAGAAATTGTGCACCAGATTTATATTGATTCAATGCATTCGTTCTCGCTAGCACCTAGTGAAGTCTCTAATAGCAAACTATTGAAAATTTATTGGGTCTTCCACTATTTTACAAATTAATACAAGTGTTTTTCACACAACAGAAAATCAAGACAACATTTAACACTTTAAACCAAAATGCTAAGAAATTTTTTGTATGAATATGGATTTCCCAAGCACAACACTAAAAACTGACAAAGTTTACTCCAAGATTCCGTTTATAGTAGTCTTAAGTCAACCCTTCCGAAATTCAATGGTTCGAGCCTTTGTCCTAATAAAGCATCTTAGAAACTCTAAAATTTTATATCCACTGTGTATTGCTCTATTAGAGTTGTTACTGTTAATTGTTGTTGAATTTCCCATCAGAGTGGCATCAGAGCTCTTTGGTTAAGGGGTTGTTTGACTTATTTGAATGATGGAGGCAAATATAAATAGAATGATTTCTTTGAATGGCACTAATTATCATTTGTGGAAGGGAAAAATGAAGGATCTGTTATTTATGAAAAATATGCATCTTTCTGTGTTTGCTAGTGAGAAGCCAGAATCCAAAACTGATGAAGAGTGGAATTTTGAACATCAGCAGTTTTGTGGTTTTATTCGGCAATTTGTAGAAGACAATGTTTATAATCACATTGCTAATGAGGAACATGCCAAATCCTTGTGGAAGAAGATTGAATCTTTGTATGCTTCTAAATCAGGGAATAATAAGTTGTATTTGTTGAATTCCTTGATGAATTTGAGGTACAAGGAGAGAACTTCTATTTCTGATCACTTGAATGATTTTCAAGGGCTCCTAGATCAATTGTCAGTTATGGGTATCAAATTTGATGATAAAATTTTGGGACTATGGCTACTGAATACTCTACCAGATTCTTGGGAAGCTTTTCGGGTTTCAATTACAAACTCAGCTTCTGATGGTGTTGTCTCTTTTTTGCAAAGTGTAAAGGGAAGTGTTCTGAATAAGGAGATGAGAAGGAAGGCACAGGGTACTTCATCTCATTCTGAGGTACTTGTCACTGAGAACAAAGGCAGGAGTCAGAAAAAGGAACCGAAAGGGAACCGACAAAATAGCAGGAGTGCGAGTAGAGACAACAACATAAGTAAGTCCAAGTACAGATACAAGAATGTTGAGTGCAATCATTGTCACAAAATGGGGCACATACAGAAAAACTGTTTCATATGGAAAAGGGAGAACAAAAACAATAATAGTAAGCAGAGAGATAAGAATCATGATGATGATGACCGTGTTACTACTGCTACTTGTGATGATCTGATTATTCTCCGTGACCATGATTCAGTCAATCTTGTATCAAATGAGAGCATGTGGGCTGTTGATAGTGCTGCTACACTGCATGTTACACCAAGGAAGGAGTTCTTCACATCTTACACTGCTGGTGACTTTGGAGTGTTGAAGATGGGTAATGATGGTGTGTCCAAGGTAGTTGGTATTGGTTATATTTGTTTGCAGACCAACATGAGAGTGCAGTTGTTGCTGAGAGGAGTCAAATATGCTCCAGATGTTCGCTTCAATTTGATTTATGTGCATATGCTTGATGAAGGTGGTTATGATAATCACTTTGGTTCTGGAAAATGGAAACTCACCAGAGGTAACTTGGTTGTGGCTAGAGGGGAGAAAGATAATAAACTGTATTGGACTAAAGCATTGGTTGCTAAAGACAGTGTGAATGTCATGGATATGGAGGCTTCCTTGTGGCACCGCAGGCTTAGTCATATCAGTGAAAAGGGGCTGAATTGTTTAGCTAAAAAAGACGTGCTTCCGGGATTGAAGAGTGAAGAGTTGGAGAAATGTTCTCATTGCATGGCTGGTAAGCAGACTAGAGTATCCTTCAAGAAGCATCCTCCCTCAAGGAAGTCAGAGTTGCTTGAATTGGTGCATTCTGATGTTTGTGGCCCGTTGAAGGTAAAGTCATTTAGTGGTGCACTTTATTTTGTTACCTTTATTGATGATTGTTTCAGGAAGCTTTGGGTCTATACTTTGAAGACAAAAGACCAAGTTCTAGAGAAATTCAAAGAGTTCCATGTTATGGTGGAGAGACAGTCAGGTAAGAAGCTGAAATGCATTCATACTGACAGTGGTGGTGAGTATTGTGGACCATTTGATGTTTATTGCAAGCAGCACGGTATCAGACATGAAAAGACTCCTCCTAAAACTCCTCAGCTGAATGGTTTAGCGGAGAGGATGAATAGGACTTTGATTGAAAGAGTTAGGTGTATGCTTTCTGAAGCAAAGTTGCCTAAACATTTCTGGGGTGAAGCATTGTACACGGCAGTGCATGTTATTAATCTGAGTCCTGCGGTTGCTTTGAATGCAGAGGTGCCAGACAAAATTTGGTTTGGCAAGAATATCAAATATGATCATTTGCGTGTCTTCGGTTGTAAAACATATGTTCATGTTCCAAAAGATGAGAGATCCAAGTTAGATGCGAAGACAAGGCAGTGTATTTTTATCGGGTATGGTCAGGATGAATTTGGCTACAAGCTATATGATCCAGTTGGGAAGAAAGCTATTAGAAGCTGTGATGTGAAGTTCATGGAAGACCAAACCATTGAAGACATTGATAAGATGGAGAAGACTACACCAGAGATTGATAATAGTTTGTCTAATGTTGATCCAGTTCGGAGGCCTGTACATGATCTGGATACTGCTGAAAATAATGTTCAGAATGATGAGCAACATGATGATGTTGGTGACCAGCAGCTTGGAGATGATGTAGATATTCTTGTTGATGATGCTGAAGAGGAACATGAGATGTCACAAGATGAAGATCTTGGTGATGCTCCTGAACCACCTCAAGTTTAACTTTTGAGGTCTAATAGGCAGAGGAAACCATCTACCAGGTATCCTTCTGATGACTATGTTACCTTGATAGATGAAGGAGAACCTGAGTGTTTTAATGAGGCCATGGAGAGTGATTAAAAGAAGAAGTGGCTGGATGCTATGCAAGATGAAATGAAGTCTTTGCATGATAATCACACTTTTGATTTGGTGAAATTGCCTAAGGGCAAGAAGGCTTTGGAAAATAGGTGGATTTATAGGGTAAAGCAGGAAAGCAATTCTACATATCCAAGATATAAAGCCAGATTGGTGGTGAAAGGTTTCAGACAAAGAAAGGGTGTTGATTTCAATGAGATTTTTTCTCCTGTGGTGAAGATGTCATCCATAAGAACCGTGTTGGGTTTGGTTGCTACTCTTGATCTAGAGGTAGAGTAAATGGATGTAAAAACTGCTTTCCTTCATGGTGATTTGGAGGAAGAGATTTACATGAAGCAACCTGATGGTTTTCTTGTTAAAGGCAAGGAAGACTATGTGTGCAGATTGAGAAAGAGCATATATGGCTTGAAGCAAGCCCCGCACCAGTGGTACAAGAAGTTTGAGTCTGTTATGTGTGAGCAAGGCTACAAGAAGACTACTTCTGATCACTGTGTCTTTGTTAAAAAGTTTGTTGATGATAATTTCATTATCCTGTTATTGTATGTTGATGATATGCTTATTGTTGGGAAAAATATTTCCATGATTGACAGGTTGAAGAAGCAATTGGGTGAGTCATTTGCCATGAAAGACATGGGAGCTGCTAATCAGATTCTTGGTATAAGAATCATACGTGAC